ACCGGGTGCCGCGTTACCGTTTAGCATCGATGCAACCTTTGCAGCGACTTTCCCACGAAGAAGACTCAGATGAAGAGTGCTCTACTCAGTCGTAATCGACGGCTATTTCGATGTTCTCAAACGCAACGATGTTCTTTTTTTATTTAACTACTATGTTTATCAGTAACTGTACATAAGTAGTAGGTTAATTTTTTCATAGTTTTGGGGAGCAGAACTTTACTATACGTTTCCATTCACATGATTCTGTGAGAATGAAGTAATCCGACGGTTCTGGAACATTTTCCCAGGACAACGACAAAGTCAAGTCACCGAATCGGTAAATGAGATAAAAACAAGAATATTCAGCTGATGTTGCACAGTTGATAACCTTTATATTGTGCATTCAGACTATTCAAGCTTCTGAAAATAAACTCATCCAGCAAAAAATGCAAGATATTTTATTTACCAAAACATATTCAAAGAAATTTAAAAAAAAAACATTTCCAACAAAGCTATTAGTTATGATATAATGACTAAGAAAACTTAAGATTAGAATCTTCAAAAAACCAATGTATTAGTGCAAACACCAACTCAAAAATATAAAATCGTTCAGGATCTTTGCATACATAGCGACATACAAGGGTATATCAAAAAGCTTTCGGACTAGCTCTCTACCTTACCAACAGATGGCAGCTAGAGGGTGCGCTTGCTAAATAAAAACACCTCAGAAAGTAGTGTACACAGTTGTCTATTTTACAAGAATTCTATTTAGTGGCTTTGTGCTCGCTTGATTTCCTCTCTCGGCGATACCATCATGAACGAAAGGTGTACTTTCATACATGTTAAAATCGGCAATGTCATTGAACAACCTTGGATTGACTCATCACTTCATATGTAATATCCGCGATGCTCATACTTGTTTAAACTCTGATATTGAAAGGCTCTGTGAACATTCAAAATCGCACAATCCTGCCATAAATGCAGCATCGTCCAATGCAATGCTTTTGTGCTCTGAGCCTAGGAGGGAGGTTGTTGTATCATGGTTATTAGTGAAGATTGGTACAGAAAAAATAAAGTTCTCTTTGTGTACACAAGTATTAGGAGTTACTTTCTACCCGAGGCTTAGGTTCACAGACCAAATGTCTCCTAAAGAAATCATACCTGAGACTGCATAGTTTATATGCTAACAAGCTTATCCTTAGCAGTTCTTATCTACAGTATTATTTTAATTGATTAATTTATCGTTGCCTAAGACGTCTTGATCGTGTCTCAAATACTTCTATTTCTTAGAGCTGGTTCAAAATAGCCTGTTTAGTGAAGCTGAATTATCAGATTTTGATCCACAAATTAACGCTTAGATCTGAGCCTCTATATCTTAGACAAAACTTAATTCTTAGACGTGGTGCGCATAATAGAATCAGGTATAGAAACACAATTCCTATTCCCCACCATTCATCTTTAATCTAGCGCAGTCTTACTTACAATGCTGCTAGTATTTATAACAACATAGATGCTAGGCTCTAAAGTGATGAGGGATGTCCCTAAACCAATTTGGGAAATATATCAAATAAGTTATGCAGGAACACACTATGCGTTTTTATTATTTTCTCAGAGTGCAACAATTCATAATTTAAACCTTGTTCTATCTTGCCATCTATGTCAGATGTTACCTTGTATTTTGTATTTTTTTTTTGTTCTTCTCATGTCATCGGATACATTGAATACCTTTCCACACTAGTGGTTAAGTGTAAGAATATGGCTATACTTCGCCAATGGTGTTAGATCTGTTGGTACGCATGCACTTAATAAAGACGAATTTATTATAAGTACAGTGGAATCCACTGATAATGAACTTGCTTATAATGGAAAGTCGTATATAATGGACACAATTTAAGGTCCTATAAATAATTACATCCTCGGATATAATAGACTCGCTTAAAGTAGACCCTCGCTTATAGGGGGCTATTTTAATCCATCATATGCGAGCTATTTTGGTAGTTCTCCGAGGCAGATTCAGTTGATGCAATCGTTTACGGCTGTTTGGCTTCGCAGTTTGCGTTCGAACTTGGTCACCAGTGCTATACTGTATTTATTAGAGTTATAAGCATGTCGAAAAGTGCGAAACGTGCATTCACTTTACATGAAAAGTTCACAATAATTAGTGAGCTTGAGCAGGATTCATCTCAAGCAAATATATGTGCTCGTATGGCTATAAAAAAATCCACTGTGTCAAATATTCGGAAAAACCTTGACAAAATTAAAAATGACTGGAAATCAAATAGTCAAAAGAAAAAAAATGCGGCCTTCGCTGTCTCCCCAAGTCGATGATATGCTGTTCAAATGGTTTCAACAAAAGCGTGCTAATAATTTTCCAATAAGTGGACATATGCTACAAATAAAGGCTGAAGAATTTGGGAAATTGACAGGTTTAAGAAAAGATATAACATTGTTTTTGGAAAAATATGTGGTGAGTCAGCTTCAGTTGACAAGAACGTTACCAATGACTGTATTTCTCATGTTTGGCCCGTTATGCCCGCTACATACGTAACGATATATCGTAGCGATTCATCTGTGCAAACCGATTTGCGCAGATTTATCGATCGTGTGTATGAAAAATCGTTGCAGATTTATCGTTCATGGCGGCAGTTACAATTTCTATAAGATAAATCGTTGTCGATCTCGTTTGCACAGTTTTATCGTCGCGTGTGGATGACGGTCGTTCAGTTCGTCACTTCGTGGCGAGGTTTGCTTGCGTGCGCACGCGTGGTTCGCACTCCTGATTACTTACCTTACAAGTTGCAACATGTCGGAAGAAGAAAGAGGTGGACACCGCGAACAACTTGAAGAGTTTATAGCAAGCTACAGACGCGAAACTTGAATTTGGCAGACAAAATCTAAGGAGTACCATGATCGCAACAAAAAAAATGCCGCCTACCACAGGCTGGTCGAAAAATACAAAAACATTGATCCAAATGCCAACAGGTATGTACATAGTGGTTAAGAAGATTAATAATCTGAACTGCATATAAAAAAGATATTAATAAAATAAAAAAATCGCATAAATCCGGAGCAGGAACTGACGAGATTTATACTCCTCACTTATGGTACTTCGAGTTTTTTATACGATCAAGAAGTACCGAGACTATCGATATCGAACATGGATGAGGACGAAAATGATGTAGGCTTTATTTCTCAGAAATTATTTATTGTTACATATTCCAATAGGTATTGTGTGATTATTACATGCTAAATACATTTATGCATTTTTGATATTAAGGTAGTACGTTTTCCCTAGCAACTCTATTTATCCAAATACGCAATCAAGAAATAATCAAAGCTTAGCGCGTCATTATTGGGTTATATAGGGTGATTCTCGATCATCGCGAAAAAAGTTAAGGTCAAAACTTCATACATTCATAGGAACGGCCTGTAGCTAAAAATCGCAGTGTAGCAGATAACCTTTAATGAGGACTTATTGATTTTCTCATCACAGTGTCCTGTTTCTTTATTAGTGGAGTAACCAAAGCCAGGAGGTTTAAGTATGTCTCCTCGTTCATCCTTAAATAATTGTGCCAATCTTTGGGCGCGAATTTTAACTCATTTAATAAGTTGGTATGAGAAAATTGCTTCCTTTTCATGAGCCAGTCTTTGCACCGCGACTTTTTTTTCTTTAAAAACATAACCAAGCCCAATAACGCAAGTGCGTCATCATCTTCCATCATGGATGACATGTTTGTTGCGCGAGCTTCTGCGGAGAACTGAAGATCGACGCAGATATCGGTGGCGTGTGGAGACGCTAGGGTATTTCGATTTAACTGCACAGTCTGAAATCGCTACGATATATCGTTACGTATGTAGCGGGCATAAGTGATTATTCAGATGATAACATATTCCATGCAGATGAAACCGGGATATTTTACAGAATGCTACCAGATAAAACTCATAAAATAAAAGGTGAAACTTGCAATGGAGGGAAGCTATCAAAATAGCGAATAACGGTTATAATTTGTGCTAATGCTTCTGGTACTGAAAAACGGAAATTATTGATAACAGGTAAGTGAATGAATAGAAATTCATGTTCTAATTTTGTTGATATTCAATGGCAGTGCTGCAAAGAATTTATGACCTTTTTTTTATTTCAGGGAAATTTAAGAATCCCAGGTGTTTCAAAAATGTTAAAACATTTCCCGTCGATTATATTGGAAATAATAAAGCTTGGATGACTTCATCAATTTTTGAAAAAAATTCAAAAAAGTGGGATGCTGAACTTGTTAAGAAAAGTTCTGTTAAATTTTGCTCTTGGTCGATAACTGCCCCGCTCATCCAAATATTTCATTTAATAACATCAACCTTCAATCTTTTCCACCTAATGTCACATCAGTTCTGCAACCAATGGACCAAGGTGTCATTTGGAGTCTTAAATAAATGTATCGGAAACATATGTTGATAAAAATTATGGAGCTTCAAGAAGATGTCAACATTACCAAAGCTGTCACCATTTTAGATGCTATAAATTTGCTTACTGTTGGATGAGAATTGGTTACTCCAGAAACGATCCGTAACTGTTTTCGCCATGATGGTTGAGTGAAAAAGATAACTGAAATAGTCAACGATTTTAATCCAGAAGATGAAATTCCATTAAGTGATTTACTGAAAATTAATAGTTTACTGAATATAGACAAATTTAATGAGTATATAAATGTTGACAATAATTTAATAGCAACACAGGAATTGTCAGACTCCAGTTTGGTTAATGAAGGATCCGTTGATGATGAACAGGCAGACGAACTATAAAACAATGGTGAATAAGAGCTTCCAGTGACTACTAAGGTGGCATTAGACTGCGAGAAAAAGTTGTAACGTTATTTTCAGCAAGAGGAAGACAGTACAGCCACACTTACCAAATTAAATAAAATTCAACTTGCTGTTCTAAAGAATTGCAACATGCACACATTCTGGCTCCGCCTACGATATCCGCCGGGTGGTACCTCCACGATCGACAGTCAGAGACCGTCTACCACCTACGGACAATCACAACATCCATAGCCAAGAGAAAAATTTCTCCTGGGACGGGACTCGAACCCGCACAGCGCACGGCGACTGATCAGGAGACCGAAGAGTCTACTACTGCGGCCACCGCTGCTGCCTAAACGTACGTATGAAAAGCGATAAGAAAGCTTTGCACACTGCTTTGCTTAGCTATCGGATGATTTATATATGTAGACTGGCACATGAATCTTACTCTTTAATACTGAGTAACTTTATTTTTAGAGCGCTCAAGTTATTACAGGTCATGTAATGATACTTGATAACATCCGACTAACTTCTTACTACGTTTTCTGTGACCATTGTATTTATTATAAAAACGGCTGCGGATACGATGTAGCGCATTTGTCGTGAAAAATATATATTCTGCCAATTTCTAGCACATTTGATAACCAAATAAGGTACACAAGCAATGAATTATGAGAACGACAGATGACTTTTGCCATTGCAGAAAGAATACTTTGTTCTATTTGCGAACGCATGGCACATGTATGTCAAACAATTACGAACGCTGAAATTGTTACAAAGTAGTACCTAAGTACAGTCTGTAACAATTTGCAAACGCAACCCTGTAGCAACTTGGAGCTGCTATCTTTTGTAAGTCACATAACCAGTCTGGAAACTTTTTGATACTACTACATGTAAAATGCATCCAAAAAAATATCCCAATTTCGAAAATTCCTAGCTAGCAATACCTGAACGCCTTCCAAAATCTCGCTTACGTGAAATGTTATTTTATGCCTATTTTATTGCACGTATTCTTCGAAATTGATGTTTTATAAATTCATGACGTTTCCAGATCACCAAACTCTCGCCTTCGTTCATTATTTCCCAAGATACGTCTATCTCACCCTGTCCCTCGATAAACAATGTCCTTCCGAGTCGGATAGCACATCTTCCGTTTCCCATTTCCTGATCTCCTTTTTATTATGAGTGCAATCCCTTTCTGCGGAGCACTCTTGAAAATTTAATATCATTTTCTATTGCACTTATCCAGATTTGCGCCGTCTTTTTATCGATCTGTAGATTTTCAATGGCGTGTCGCTGAGGTATGCAGGGTCAAAAGAACTGGCCGAAAAAGCTTCCTAAATGGTGTCGCCAAACAGTCCAGAAACTAGAAGTTCCTTCAAGCGGCGGATTGTTTCAGAACAGCAGCAGCTAAAACTGAAAGGATCCCGCACTTTTTACTACCTACACCACTGGCGAGGGAATACTGTAATCGCGAAAGATTTCAGAAATGAGATATGTTTTTTTGGATGTTATATGAGATGTACATCAAGAAAAACCGTATTTGATGAAATTTTTATACAAGGTTACTACTGTATCAAAGTTAAAAAAAGGCTGTATGTAGTTTTTGAAAAATGGTCCAGTGGCAGCAAAGAAAAACGCCAAAAACGGACAAAAAATAATCCAAACTTCATTTTTTGATATATCAGAGACTCGTGATCATTTTCAGAAAAATGTTTGCAGCGGTTAAAAATATGATGTTTGGGGTTGTAGTGAGGTGGGGTAAAGTGTGTCATTTTTTTATGCGAGCAATTCATACACCTATTAGGCATATCTCATAAATCACAGATTTCCTCGTACATTTGCCCTTAAAACTAAAGTTTTTATTTATTATTTTTGATGTACGTGTGCCGAAGAACTCAACGAGCGTACGTCATTTCATTTCACGCAGAACCATTTATCGAACAATAGCCGAGTGCTAGCAGGGACTACCATGTCTGAAACCACGTCCATTTACTGCTTGGAAGTCAGAGAGATTGGTGAGAAGAACAAAAAGTCAGGTGGAATGTCAATACACAGACTGGCTCGCCAATACAGATCTAAGAGTACGATATCGTTAGAATTACGAAGGAATGGTATTAAGTATCGAAAGAGACTTAAGTGCCCCAAATACTCTCAAGCGCATTTCCTTCGTATACCAAGATGTTGTCATCAACTGAGGTATACTTTGCCAATGGAAAGATCATTATTTTTCGTGATGGAAAAAATTTCACTTTGAGTAATTCTGAAATGGAGGGAAATGACGGATTTTATATGGACAACGTATAGAAATGCCCCGACAATGTTGGATTCAAACATAAACCGAAATTTGCCGATAAAATCCTTGCCTGGTGCGCAATTTCTAACAGGTGTGTATCCCAACCTTTTGAGGGAAGAGTGAGGGGTAAAGCTTTCAATAGTCAGAGCTATATTGATAACTGCCTCACCAAATTGCATCAGTCTGACCACGAACATGATGCTAATGACCATATCATGTTTTGGATGCAGATAGCATCATGCTTTTACTCAAGTGATACCCAAAACTAGCAACGACAACACAACATGCCTTTTGTTCTGAGAAACGATAATCCTCCAAACTTGCCGCAGGCTTGTCCAATAGAGAATTTTTGATGAAGAACAATTAATAAGACGGCGACTTTACGAAAAACTGAGAGAATTCCGTCCAGAACCTCATGAGAGACATTCGAAAAAAGTTGCGTCTGGCAAAGCAGAATGAGCCACCCCACATACTTCGATAGTATAGTTTAGTTAAGTATTGAGTTGTAATTTATGATAATTAGATAGTGTTTAAATAAATTTCTTCATTAAAAAAAAAGTATTAGTATTTTGTGCCAAAACTTTTACATACGTTTCCTTAATCCGATGCATCATTGAAAATACGAAGGGTATAGTAAAGACATTACTGATGCTTCAGTGATACATATAACATAGATATGTGGTGAGAACCCCTCCTAGAATACATATACTAAGTGACATATAAATCCGAACACCCAGTTTAAATGGTTTTATTTTAATAAAATTTTGTATAAGTACTTAATGAAGCATAATAAGTAAATGATAAAAATTTCAAAATGATTGCACTGCTTTAAAGCCCTTTGACCTTTAATAATGTGTGGATGCACCCTGATGTGCTACGCATTCTCCAACGCGCCTAGGCATGCTTCTGATCAGGTGGTCAATGTCCTCCTGTGGTATCTCATTCCAGGCAACCACCAACTCCTCTCGAAGTGCTTCTAGAGTCTGAGGAGGACGTTGCAAATTGAGCAATCTCCTACCCATCATATCCCACGCGTGCTCAATTGGGGATACGTCGGGAGATCTTGGTGGCCATGGTAACAATGTGACATCATTATGTTGAAAGAAGTCTATTGTGACTCTTGCAACATGTGGTCGGGCATTATCTTGTTGGAAAGTTGGATCTGCCAGGGTGTCAAGATATGGTAAAATATGGGGTTCTAGAACTTCGTGGATATAACGCTGCGCGTTCATGTTACCTCTGATGAAGATTAAAGGTGACCTGGAACCATAAGCTATAGCACCCCAAACCATATCTCCAACAGTGTGATGAACATGTCTTTCAACAAAAAACTGTGGATTCCTCCTTTCACCACGTCGCCTTCTAGCCCTGGCACGACCATCGTGCATGCCTAAACAAAATCGAGACTCGTCACTAAAGACAATACTGTTCCATTCCTGACCCCAGAGTGACCGTTGTCTGCACCACTAAAGGCGATTACGTCGGTGTTCTCGAGTTAAAGGGAGGACCCAGTGTGGCCGGTATGAAAACAAGCCAAAACTTCTCATTCGTCGGTAAACACTTCGCATGCCAATAGGTCTTCCGTGTTCTGCAAACCATTCATTTGCAATGGACCTGGTAGTGGAGAAACGGTCCCTTAAGGCCAATAATCTTAGGCGGCGATCTTCACGGTGTGTTGTTCTACGGCGGCGTCCAGTGCCCCTTGCTCTTTGCGTACGGCCTTCTCGAAGCCATGCCTGACAACACCTAACCACAGTGTCTACACTTCTTTGCACTCTAACTGCAATTGCCCGAAAAGAAAGTCCAGCTTCCCGAAGTCCCACTATACGGCCCCTATCAAACTCACTAAGTTGACGAAATCGTACAGGTCTCCGTACTCTAGGCATCGTAACCGATCGTAAAGGATGTCAAGAACCAAAATCCGCCAACGTTGATTCTTTACTGCGGCTGAAATATTCATTTTTAGAGCGTTAGTAAATTAAAAAAAAAGCAGTATAAAAACCGGAATGTCCAACTGATAAGGCTGAAAATTTTTTCACTTGTTATTTACAGTAAGATCAATACATTCACCAACTTTTATTAAAATAAAACCATTTAAACTGGGTGTTCGGATTTATATGTCACTTAGTATATTTTTATCTTATCTTAATAAGCAGCCCTATGTTATTTATTCATGTTTGTACCCTTTAGGCATCAGTTTGCATCTAGAAGTTTAGCAGTTACATTACCGTTGTAAAATCACTTAGCCGTAGGTTTGATAATATATCGTTTTTGCTCGGAAACACTTGATTGTAATTCTGATAAAAGTATTAAATCGCCTGTAAATTGTTTTGTTAAAAACGTAATTCCGTGGCATGATAGCTGAATTATATGAAACGTCTTACACCAATTTAAATAGTAGTTAAAGAAGTAGAGATAACTGTTTACCAATAATTACTGTATTTCCTCCACATGGGAAGAAGGCGTCAAGTAGGTTGACTCTGCACCTTCCAAGGAACGCTGTCATCAGCTTATGAAGGATTACGTTTGGTACAATTTAGACTCTCTGACAAAAAAGTTGGCTAAGAACATTCAAAACAAAATAAAAAGGAAAAGATCAAGACAGTTAAAAAGCACATACAGTTAATCTATAATCCCCACCCGTTTGACGACGTTGCAATCTAGAAATTGCTCCCCGGCCCTACTGACAGTATCAGCCATCTAGGAACACCAAAAACTTGATATATACTCTCTCCACCGCTTACAACCCCCAACTCCATCCTTTCAGCCCGACAAATATTTTTCCAAAAACGATCAGCCTTTCAAAGTCAAAAACGTGGTAATTTTTATTTTTCTTCAGCTGCTCTGCAGTATTTGGTTTGTTGGCATAAACCATATTTATCAAAATCCCCATGAAAAAGTCAGAAATCGTTAAATCCGGTGACCTTGGTGGCCAATTGACATCTACAAGTCGAGAAATTAAACGTCCCGAAAATATTTTTCGTGAAAGATTCAGTTGCTCCGTCCTGCTGGAACCACATGTTTTGCAGGTTAAATTATTGGATTTGAGTAGTCAGAATGTTTTGCACCATATCACGGTAGTGCTGGCTAGTGACAGTAAGAGAATTACCTGCAGCGTCTTCAAAGAACTAAGGTCCTATGAC